AGGATGGGGACTGTTGTGTTGTCCATGGTTGCATGTGTTCTGTTGTTGGTGTGGTAGCTGCAAAGGTGTTCTGGTATTTTGCACTTTCCATTTGGGTGACTCCACCTTGGGTGATCTCTCACTTAGCGGGGCTTCAGTCACTGCTTAGTCCAGGCACATGCTGTCCCTGTAAAAATCCCAAGGCTCCCAGGAGGTTCCAGATTACCTTCCTGGAGAATTTCTTTCCACTGTCATATCTGAGAAAGCCTGGCTAGGTACCTCACTGACCATTCCCCATCTCCACGACCATCACACACCAATAAGTGAGTCCAAATTTCAACCCTTGGTCTCTAACAGCTACTAAGAGGACAACAAGCTTTACTCTTCCAATTCCAAAGAGACACAGGCCTTCAGGAAGAAATTCCTTGGGCCTCTTTTTAGGACCAGCCTTGGAAGAAGAACTCCAACGTCAGTCAGTGCACTGGGGTGATCCCATTTTATTTCAGAAATGTTATGAGAGTGTCAGCTCTGTCCCAGTTAAAGAAACAACGTTATATTACATCCAGGTTAGACAGAGCAGGTTGATAACTCAGGAGAATCACAGAATCACAAAATCACAGAATGGTAGGGGTTGGAAGGGACCTCTGTGGGTCATCTAGTCCAACCCCCCTGCCCAAGCAGGGTCACCTACAGTAGGCTGTAGATGAACTTGTCCAGGCAGGTCTTGAATATCTCCAGAGAAGGAGACTCCACAACCTCCCTGGGCAGCCTGTGCCAGTGCTCCATCACCCTAAGAAGGAAGAAGTTCTTCCTCATGTTCAGACGGAACTTCCTGTGCTTCAGTTTGTGCCCATTGCCCCTTGTCCTGAAGAAGTAAAATCTTCCAGGCTGTAATAAACCAAAGCATATAAGATTTGTTCTCAAACCAGTTGGAAGGTGAAGGAGGCCCCCCCCCTTCCCTCGTACCTTGGTATTTGCTGTATTGTTAATGTGCAACCCTTGCATAACCACTTCCTTAATTACTGTCGAAAGAATAAAGTGGGGATTTCTATGTACTGGGTCAACATGACCAAATAAGGAAAGGAACTGATCCACAACGCGGAGCAAGACTACGGCCTTCATCCTCACGACCACCAGAGGGACCAGAGCGACCCCCTAGCAACAGCATGCGCAGCCACAGAAGGAGAC